TATATATATATATATATATATATATATATATATATATATATACACGTGTTTAATTACTTGTATTTAAGGAATTTCAAGATTCCAAGAAAAATTACTAGAAGAAGTACTCGCACAATGTAGCATAAAAAATCTCGATTTTAATGTTTCTTTTTATTCCGTCTCTATATTTTAATACGGGTTTTATGTGGTTTTGAGAAAAAGATAATGTTTTTGTTTTTTAACAAAATATAAATTTGAATGTATCATAAAATTTTATATCAATATTAGTATTAACTATTTAAAAGTTCTTGTTTTTTGTGTAATTTCTTTAATGCATTTTTTTTATAATTTAATTTAGATTTAATAATGAAGTAATTTATTTTTAATTTAATAATATAATTTTTATAAGAATTATAATTAAGGATTCTGTTAGAAGTCAATGATTATCCTAATTAAATTTTAAATGTTTTATATTTAAAATGAAATTTTTATCTTGTATTTGACTATGTTTATCTGCAGTTACTTACACGAATTCAAACATGAAGCTTTAATAAGTTGTACTTACGCATAGTTTTATTTGTAATCTTGAATTTTAAGTAATATGCATCAATAAATAGTACTTCATACTTAAAAATAGTTTTTAATAGTTTTTGTCAAATGCTTTATAATATAGTATAGATATGTAAAAGTTTTGGATCAAATGCATTATAATGTAGTATAAATAATGCAGCTAGTACCAAACAAATGAAAGTATGATGTATAAAGAGTGATAATACAAAAAATATTTCGTCAAATTTTCTACAATCAATAACACTCTTCAATAGTTTATACACCATTTTGTTTTCTGAACTTCTTAATTGATGTACAAATTAAGGAGGATAGTAAAATAAATAAATTGTTTATTGGTGCATTGTGTTTTTTCCTTCATTTAAATTTTTTTATTTTTTTCATTGAGTTTTGTATCTATAAAAGCACTTATGAATTTATTATAAGTTAGAAGAGTTTAACTTCTTCAAAAACTTCTTATTACCGGTTTGGCACCGGTATAAGTTGTTTATCCAAACACTTAAAAGTATTTATTGCCGGTATCACACCGAAATAAATCAATAAGTTATTTTTATAAACAATCTCAAACATCAATTCTACATTTCCTATCAACTATTATGTTCCAACCGAGGGTAATACAGACATTTTCCTTCTTCGAACGAGGTGAACCCGGCCTTTATAACATCATTAATTATTCAAGCCTTCGTTTGGTTTGATTTTCACGCACGCACTGAAAGCACTCTCGAACACACACATACGCTTACTCATCCACGGATCATCTGGAGCTCCTTGCGGCAGGTGATTTGTTCATGTTTTTCTTGATCTCTCTCGATTCACAACCTCTAGATTCATACATTCCCGCTGTTTTGATCGAATTGACAACTTCAGATTATGATTTTCGTGGATATTCTATCTTTTACCAAATCGATCTATAAGTTTTCATAATTGATTTGTTTTTTAATTATTTTGGGAGAGGATTCTGTCGGATCCCTAATGTTTTAATTCCTTGATCAATTTCTCTCTTTAGGGTATAGGGATATTTGATCGAATATTCGTGTTCGACATATGAATATTTTTATATTATATTTGTTTGCCAGGCCTCCTTTGGTCATATCGAGGAGGAAAATCTATCTGCAAAGTGAGTTCAGGTTTAGATTTTTGGTGCTTCTGAATTGGAATTTAAATTACTTCGTTGATTAAAAGTCATAATCTTGCCGTCGTCTAGGAGTTGTAGAACTTATGGTACGGCAGTAGTAGGTGCATATTTCGGCTGGAATTTGTTGATGACAGGTGTGATCATGTTTCTGGCATGTTGGCAGTTTAGTTTAGGAATGACCAATGGCAATGGGCTTACTTGCACATTATGCGTAGGAAGATTATGTATATTCTGGTGTTAGTAAGACTAGACTTTTTATTTCGCTTTTTACCTTGTGGATGAGTGTATGCTGCAACATCAAGCTTACCTTCCAACTCAATGAGAAAGCACACCATCATCAATAGCAACAAACCTTTTTTCCCTAAATTAGTTTGGGAACACTACGGAGTAATAGCTATATTGAAGTGAGCAAATGCTAAAGAACTTGGGGTTGTGAATAGCATCCATTCATATGGTCTCCTGTCTATGAAAAAAAATCTGTGGCATACACCATTCAGTCTATCTCTCCCCACACTGCCCTCCCATGTTAATCATGTCCTACCCCTTGTTTTTATACTTCCTTTTCTTAGCACATGCCCATTTCTCTATTTAATTGTTGTCATATATCCTTATATCTGATCCATCCATCGTTGTACTTTAATTTTTGCTGCTAGTACTAGGTCCATGTGTATTGGCAGTCCACATGTTTAGCCGTAAAGCCAAACAGGTCCCTCCTTTTGACTATAATACTTACCCCTAACCTTAACAAAAACTTACCTTTGGACTGTTCTTGGTCTTATGATCAATCAAAATCCCCAAAGTATGCCACTGACTTTGCCACTTCTTCCGCTTGTTCCCATCCTGGATCTAACATCTACAAGAATCTCCCATCCTTTTCGAGGTTGAACTCCTATAGGATGGGCCTTGCCATAGACTTTCATCTTGATCTCCTTTATTACATTAATTAAAGCATACCTTATCATAATTCTTATTGTTGAACATGATTCAAAACATAGATTACAAATTTCCAGTGGCGGATCCAGGATTTTGGTCTAGTGGGGGCACCTTTAAGGTAGCTTAAACGCCCACTAAGTCGTCCGATGTGTTTTAAGCCTAATTCCACCATTCCAAGAGATTTTTGAAGTTTTTTTGGATTATTTCGAGGGATTTTTTAAGGTTTTCTTATCGATTTCGAAGAACTTTTCAGTTTTTTGGTTGATTTCAAGATACTTTCTTTAATTGGTGGGGGCCTTAACAAAAAATTACGAAGGAGAACCATGATAGAAAGTAAAAAAAAACAATTTTTAACCTTAAAAAAATTCATTTTTTTATTTTTTAATGGGGGCCCTTCCCCCCACCTTTAACATGCTAAATCCGCCCCTGCAAATTTCTGTTGGTTGGTCTCATCAGCACACGTTTGTTGGCTTATATCTGCATCTCCAAAAGCCAATCTAGTATCACAAACATAACAGGTTGGTTCGTTTATTATTATGTTTCTTTCTCTTTTCACTCTTTTTCCTTGGAGTAGGCAGCTTTAGGGTATTTTTACACTAAAACTATCATATGGCCCACTGTCCACCTACATGCGTAGAAATCAAAAGACAACTGCAAAAGATAAAAAGAATTAAAGAAGGTGACCCTAAAGATTTTACTTAATTGATGCTTAAGATTATTGCCTACAGCTATTGATGGAAGCTTGGACTAGGTAACTTGAAACCTGAGATCTTCAGCAAAGTACTGAACATACATGGCATGGTGGCAGATATGTAAGATCCTGGAGATGTGCCTATATTAATATTAGGGAACACACACATAGTACTGATGAAAAGCAACTACTTGTCAGCATCTAATGTTTTCAACAATGATGGTTGTATCACCTTGGTGACAACACATTATAAAAAAATTTAGGTTCTTAATCTAATTGTGGTGCTGATGTTGAGATTAGACGGCAATGTACTCTGTTACTCTAAACCCTACCAAAGGGTCGTTGACCCAGTGGTAGCTTGGTTACCTGTAGAGCCCAACCTCTCAGGAGTTCAAGGGTTCAAACCTCACCAAAGGTGAGGAGTGTGCGTGAGTATTTCCCATATATAAATATTCTATACTTAAGAAAACTGAATGGTGACAAAAAATGTAAATCCAACCTATTTGCATAATATAAAGATTATGAAACATGTCTTCTGTTCCAATCTTAAAGCACTATTCAGAAAGAGACTTAGCTTCAGCTGTGAACCATATTTAAGCAGTAAATGAAATGTGAGACATGTCGAAATCATGGTTGACATAAGCAATAATAGTATCTTGAATTTGAATATTATGTGTTCTGACTGCTACATACATGAGATGGATGTGAGCATTTAATCAAACCACAAAAGTTCTAGAAGAAGACAACTTTGTGTCGATAGAATTAAAATTAGAATAAGGATTACATTTTGTGTATAGACAGAACCTGAATATGTTCTGGGTTATTTCTCTTTATGGCCAGGAACTTCTATATGGCTTTCTTTATGTGCCAAGTTTAAAACATAGGTTGGACGTCTGGGATTCATTTCTTGAGAAAGTTTGGTTTAATTTATGAATCTATGTATATAAAAAGGAATCATCATGATTTTTGCTAGGGCATAACTTTTCTTTGAACTGGTTTTTAAATTTAGAATGATTGTCAATGTCATGTGATGATGAGAGGGTGAAGTTTAAAAAACAGAAAAGCTAAAAGAATTCAGGGGCCAAAAAGATCATTGTGCAGGACTGCAGGTGTACCTAATGGTTGTAGTTAAAGGATTTCCAACTTTCATATGTATTTGACATGTTAATTCTTATCTAAGAAGCACTAGTCATAGACATACACGGAATTTATTCCCTGGAAACAGAATATCTTCTAGAGGAAAATAAGTTATAGGAATAAAAACTGGGGAAAGTGCCTAGTCTTTGTAGTTTTTCATTTCCCGTTGCGTTTTATTTTGCTAAGGGCTACTTAAGATTAAGTTTCATGTGTGGATCCTGGTTGGGCACTACTGAATCACTATCAGGCTTCACTTGAATATGAACTTGTGTTGGTTTGCATTATTCTGTTGTGGCTCTAGTCCCCAAGATCTTTCACCTCGCCAATGAGCTAATTAACTAACTGGGCAAGAACCGATATCCCTCGGCTTACGATTTACCAGCCCCGTCCTTCCAAATGTTTTTGCTCTATAGTACCTGCCCTTCTTTCCAAAGGATGCATTCCAACTACTGGCCTAGCTCCCATTTAAGCCAAGGTTTGCCAAGATGGCTTTGGCTTCTGGGGATTGCGATTCTGTTTGGTCTACTGTCTCAAGATATTTAAACTTGAAATCTCTTATCCCCCATAGAAGCTTGAAAGTTTGGGCAATGGATGTTTCTTCCAGGAAGAGGGTTCCCATGGTTGCTATGGCAAGAATGTGAAAAACTTGTCTGTTTCAAAGTTAATTCATTCCCATCGACAATTTGTTGTGAAATGGATATGGTGGTTGCTGTGGATGCTTAGTTTGTGGGGCTTTTGTGAGAAAGCTTATTATAGCTGATGACTGATGTGGTTTAGTGAGATATTTGAGGGCTAGGGTTTGGGGGATGTATGTAGAACTGACCTCTACCCCAGGGAGTGAGTGGCTGTTTCCGTCAAGACCAGCTATTTGCCTTCATGGGCTTAGTTAAGGATTATATATTTTTAATATCGTTTTATCATGACAAATAATTGTCCTTAAAAAGGAATGCTAGGACTCTTGCATGCATATAAAAATGACATTTTCTTTTGTTGCTTCCCTTTGCCATTTTATGTTGAAATTTGTACTTAAAGAAGACGATTCCGAAAGACCTTTTCAGTGTCCGTATACTCAAATTTTGACTTTGCAGATGTTTTGTATTTCAGGTTCTAATACTTTTTAATCGCATCTCAAACTTTATAACTATTCAATATGAACAATTTGCACGGACACGATCAAGTAAGCAGCAAAGCCCTTGCTATTTTTGTTTTTTAAAGCATATAATATATATGTATACCGCAAAACTCACACACACTCCATCTCTGAATGGTTAAGGTTGGGATCTACCATTAGCCGGATACTGTTATAACCAAAAATCTTTCCACAAGTATATAATCGTCAATTGTGCAGGAAACACCAGTCGTAGCCGGTTTCGAAATTCCCAGATCCCCAGATGCAAGCTACAACAACATCTACACCGCAAACGAAGATGAGGGGCGGGACCCACCCGTAGTCCCTCAACACTTGCAACACACTGTATTGAGCTACCCTGCACCTGCTGTATCCCTACCCAACCCACAGCATGTGGTTCTGAATCATCTTTACATCGAAAACAGACAAGTCACACGATCGGTAGTGGCACTTGGGCTCTCGCATCGGTTTCGAACCAAGAACGTGACCGTCGTACTGTATAAACCGGTTCAAAGAAGGGGAAGCAGTGGCAGTTGAATTTGTATTATTAGGTAACAACAGAAGTTGATATGGATTTTTGTATGTTCCCATTTTAATGGTTGGGATAAATATGTGTTTATGGACTTGAATTAGGTGACCCTTTTTTTTGGAATAGAAATGGCCAAATCCATGCACTTAACAAGTTGTACATTCCTACTTACACAACTCATGTTAAAATGATTTATAACTTGGTGACTGTTTGGCAATTGCTGAATGGTTTGGTACAGAATAATTAAGATGCTCTCATAATATAGTGCAAAATGAAATATAATTGTTTGGTAATTGTGTATAATGAAATTAGGACTCTTAATGGTTAAGGGAGATCCAGAATACAAAATCATTCAGAGGGTTTTAGAACCATTAAGAGGCCGATTTTTTTTTGCCAAACAAGATTCACCTCTTAACGATTCAGAGATTGCCTCTTAATAGAACTATTAAGAGATAAACAAACAACCGTTTATACGGTCTATTGATGTGGACTTTGGCTATTTTCTGTTTTCATAAAAAAACATTTATAAAAAGAAAAAAGATAAAATGATCAGAAAATAATGCAAACAATATTTTATAATCATTGAATATTCCAATTTCTCTTTTTTTATATCTTTATTGTATAAATTTCCAATATTACCCCTATTTTTTTTATTAACTTGGATATACAAACTGTCATGTGAGCCGATTAATCCTAGGTCGACCACCTGCTTTGTGGATAGCTTAGAGTCACCGTATTTGAGCCTTCGTGTCTATAAGGAGATATTTTATTCCTTCTTGGATTTGAACCTGGGACCTTCATGCAATTTTTTATCTTTGAAGTCTAAGCTCAAACCAATCAGAAACTACCTTTTTATGGTTCCCTATTATTATTGACTATTCAAATTATACCCATATTTTTTTTATGATAACTTTATTATTATCTATACTATATTATAAAGCATTTGATAAAAACTCTTAAAAATTATTTTTCATGCATGAAGTACTATTAATTAAGTTAAAGTTCAAAATTACAAGTAAATTGTACATAAGTACAATTTACTAAAGCTCCATTTTTGAATTCGTGTAACTAACTATAGATAAAAATAATCAAATACAAGATAAACATCTTATTTTAAATATAAAAACTTTAAATATAATTAGAATAATCATTAACTTCTAATAGAATACTTAAATATTATATTTATAAGGAATTATATCATCTACCTATATTATATTATAAAACATTTGACAAAAACTATTAAAAACCATTTTTTATGCATAAATTACTATATATTGATGCATATTACTTAAAATTTAATATTACGAGTAATTTTGCATAAGTACAACTTATTAAAGCTCAACTTTTAATTTTGTATAACTAACTACTGATAAACATAATCAAATACAAGATAAATATCCATTTTAAATATAAAAAAACTAAAATATCCTCAAGATAATTATTGATTTATAACTTGCACTGTCTATTGATGTGGACTTTGGCTATTTTCTGTTTTCATAAAAAAAACATTTATAAAAAAGAAAAAAGATAAATTCTCTTTTTTTATCTTTATTGTATAAATTTCCAATACTGCCCCTATGTTTTTTTTAACTTGGATATCCAACCTCCTATGTGAGCCGACTAATCCTAGGTTGACCACTTGTTTTGTGGATAGCTTAGAGTCACTGTATTTGAACCTTCGTGTCTATAAAGAGATTTTTATTCCTCATTGAATTTAAACCTGAGACCTCCATTTACTTTTGATCTTTGAAATCCAAATTCAAACCAATCAAACACCACCTTTGTGGTTCCCTATTTTTATTGACTATATAAATTATACCCATATTGTTTTTCATGATAACTTTATTATATACCATTTAAATTAAATTATTCGAAACAAAGTTCCACATATTCAAAACAAAGTTCCATTAAGTAATTCATAAATGATCTACTAATACGCTCCAATTTTGGAGGATCTGGATCTCGTTTATTAGATTATTCGGTTAATAATACTATTAAAATATCATTTTACGATTATGTATGGGTTTTTTTTTATATATTTCTATTTTTATCGTTTGTAATGCTTTTATATAGGTGAAGGATAAATGAAAAACGTAATAAAAGATCTGAACCATTGATCACTTTTAATCTCATGTTCACCCATGAATTGCACTCTAGAAGGAATTGATCTGGTGCATAATGCACCTTATTATGGGGTTGGGTTCTGGTGAGAAGGGAAGTTTTAGTGAGAAGCGTAACAAGAGATCTTCATCTTTAGATCAATTCTAATTGAATGTCAACATTAATGAGGTGCGTTGAATCAATTCCCTTCTAAAACGCAATTCATATGTGGACATAAGATTAAAAGTGATCAGAATTCAGATATCTTCTTATGCTTATCAACATAACTTCCCTTCTCATACGATCTTTCGCCGATATATCTATACTATCTTATTAAGCAAATTTAGCAAAAGTTTTAAAGTCTTAAAATACTAAATGACCAAGATACCTTTTATACTACCCTTACATCACTTTTTCATTTTTTCACCTTCTTCTCTCCTCACATACACTCACCCTCTCACATTAAACAGATTTTTTTCAAATTATAATTTTAAATTTACATTTTATATTCTTATAATTAGTTAATTAATTTACTTTACGTYHTTTACTTTTAAATGTTTCATTTTAAACTTTTATCAAATTAACATACATAATCGTATATCAATTAAAACATGTTWAAAAAATAYATTTTTATTTTAACAAGTTACACCATTATAATCGTCTCGTTAATACMTTCRAAATGAATCCAATATTGAATAGTTTTTTACTTAATTATATTATTATATATTATATATACTGTGAAAAAATATTTTTAATATTTACGATTTATACTTTTATAGTTATTTATTTATATATATACTATATATTTTGGGGTTAGGTTGTCCAAATTGCATTGTATAATATGTTCTGAATTAATTGTTCTTTGGTTTTTTTTGAAATATATATATATACATGTATTAATTCAACTTTAATCTGAGTTTCTGGACAAGAATGAGGGTAATCAGTTGAAATTTCATTCTAAAACCCATTTTTTTTTGTCTTTTCATGGCTTATGATCTGTCAAATTTCTTTATTGGTTTTGAGTGTTTATCTTAAAACTCAAGTTTCTTGGTTCTTTGCTCTTAGTGTAAATCGAACACATTTGTGGAGTCGTTTAAATATGTTGGATTTTAWATATATTGGATTTTAAACTGTCATACAATTTTTTTCATCGATAGTCTGTAATTGAAACCCTAACTCTTATTTATTCAAATTGTATTAATATGTAAAGACCATATGTAATATATATCATTGTTAAATCTTATCTTATAAAACCAGTGGAACTTCAAAATCGTTAAATTCATGGCTCCCGCCGCATTGCGCGGGTACACAACTAGTATATATAGGGGTGCAATCAAGAGAGAACTCGATTGTTTGTGATAACTGTGAGATCCAATCTCAATAAGATATTATTAATGAAGGTTGTTGTCCTAATGAGTGTAGCGGAGTGCTCCCTATCCTATTACTCATCTATAGGGCCATCACTTTAGCTTTCCAATCAATGGTTATTATTAAACATATTAATTCTGGTAATTATTCATTAATTTTCAAATAATTTAAATTTATTGATAATATATAGAGGTAAATGAGTCTTTTTAAAACCTCTCTTCTCTCTCCCTTCTCTCTCTCCGGCCAAGAATTTTTAACAGTAAAACACAAAACAAATATGATACACGCTGTGATATCCAAAAATTTATAACAGTAAGACACAAAACCAATTGTGATACACATTGTGATACCAGTGTGATAACGTTTTGAACATGGGTTGATAACAGATGTGATCTGAGTTTTAAGCCACACACAAACACAATGTGATACAGGACTGTGATATAATTTTGTTGAGATAATTAAGGAAACCGAATTTGATAACTATTAAATAAGAAAAATATTTAAATTATAATTAATCATTTTACTAAAATGACTTTACCTATTAATTAAGGTAATACAATTAATATCATAAAACGATTGACTTCTATTGGACCTCAAGGTTAACACAAACTAATTAGTTCTCGTTTGATTAGGCCCATATATATATATATACATATATATATATATATACTAGAAGAGTACTCGCGCAATGCAGCGAGACACATCTCGATTTTAATGTTATATTTTATTATTTGTCTTTGTCGATGTTATAATACAATTTTATGTGTTTTTAAGAAAGCAATAATGATTTTATTTTTGAATAAAATATAAATTTGAAAAAAATATATCAATGTTAATATCAAATCAACTATTTAAAAGTATTCATTTTTTATGTAATTTCTTTAATTTATTTTTTTATTATAATTTAATTTAAGTTTAATAATGAAATAATTTATTTTTATCCTTGTGGTTTTCAATTTGTTTTCATTTTCGTCTCTGAGTTTAACTCTGTTAAATTAGTGTCAGTTAAGTCAAGAGCAATGTAGTCTTTTTATATTATTTGAATTTTTCTTTTTTAATTAAAATAGTATATGATTATATACTCTCTCTATATATATATATATATGAAACACATATTACATTGCTCCCACCATCGGTCCCTATTCTAGGGGTTGTTTGGCAATTGCTAAATGGTTCAGTACAGAATGATAAAGTGATCAGAATGATTAAGAGACTCTTATGATATAGTGCAAAATGAAATATAATTGTTTGGTAATTGTATACAATGAAATTAGGGCTCTTAATGGTTAAGGGAGATTCATGATACAAAATCATTCAGAGGGTTTTAGAACAATTAAGAGGCAGACTTTTATTTTGCCAAACAAGATTTACCTCTTAACGATTCAAAAGTTGTCTCTTAATGAAACTATTAAGAGATAAAAAAACAACTCCTTAATTCTTAATGTTTATGTAAAAATATGCAGGTTGTGGTGTGAATGGCATTCAGCACCGGAAAAATTGCAACCATCTTGACTAAGGTAAAAAAAGGTAAAAGAGAAATGGGAAAAGGGTAAAAAAGCAAAATCATCCTTGATTTACTGAACATTGTTTAACAGAATATATATAGGGGCCTATTCAAGGGAGAATTGAGTTGTTTGTAGTAACTGTGAGAACCAATATTAACCACAAATCAATAGAT